GGAGCTTTCACTTGGGAGGAAGAAGCCGCCACAACGACTGTGCGGACGCTTCAGCCGCATCAGCATGAAGCTGCCCCGGATCCCGCTCCGCAGGCAGAAGCTACCCAAGGTCGTAGGTAAAGATACCCGCACAGGGTCTGTGGGGGGACACCTTCTTCCGCAAGAGGCTGCTGGGAAATGGGTGTGAAGGTGTCGGTGTGGGGAAATGCTCTGAATGTTGATGTGGGTGGGCGTGGGGGTGGTGCGACGGAAGAGAAGGAAAAAGGGGATGATAATGTGCGCGAGCCCAGGGAGGACGATAGGAGGGTAGGAGGCCTAGGTGTGCAGGCAGGTGTGGGAGGCTTTGGGCTCTGACTCTGTGAGTGCTTGCATCTGGGGTGCCATGAGGGTGTGTGGACATCTGGGTCAGACAGCCCTCCCCCACTCCCCAGTTTGTAGGAGTATATGTTGGTGTGTTCACCTGGAGTTGTGGCACCTGTGCAAGGGAATTGCTGGCACCAGTTGGCAGGAGGGGGGTCCTGCCTGGATCCCCTGCAGTGCCCTGGGTCCTTTCTGGAGCCCTCCGCCCTACCAAAGGGCCCTGGGTGAGGGGTTCTGCTTCTATTGTCACGCTGCCTGTTGAATTGCCTGTGCCACCCACAGGCAGGGTAGGGCTGGTGCGCCATCATTTGTGGCAGGAGGGCTACGGAGGGCACAGGCTCTGAGGCAGGGCAGGCCCCCTGGCAGCCGTGCCTCCCTCTTCCCCTAGTGGCCCATCACGACCTGGATAACACACTCAACTGCAGCTTCCTGGAGCCACCATCGGGGCTGGAGCAGCCCTCACCATCCTGGTCTTCCCGGGCCTCATTCTCCTCCTTTGACACCACTGACGAAGGCCCTGTGTACTGCGTGCCCCACGAGGGTGAGCACACTCTGCTTAAGCCTCACTCCGGCCCAGGGAAATGCTCCAGCTTAAAAGATCTCTGTGCTCGGGGGTACAGGCATCATGGAGAGGGGTGGTGTGGGGATGCTGTTAACGGGGCGCTGGACTCACAGCTGAGGCTGCAGGGCGGCGTTCTGTGCTGCCCTGCGTTGAACTGAGGTGGGGTCTGGGGAGATGGGTGGGCTGTCTTTTCTCTAACCACAGCCCAGGTTCATTTCTGGGGGAGAGACCAGGTAGAGAGAAGGTTCTGGGCCCGAGTAGGAGTTGATAGGAGGGGAGGTCTACAAAATATGGGCACATACCTTAGCCCACAAGTGGCAGGAAGGAGCCTGCCTGGCTGAGATTCTGGCTTCTTTCCTATCCTGACCATCCACCTGGGTGACTTTGGGCAGGTGACTAACCTGGGCCTTAGAAGCCTTATCTGTTAAAGATGGAGATGTAATCCCCTTGCAGGTGTTAAAGGGTTACATTTGATGATGATGGGTGGCCTCCAGGCTGGGGATGTGGGGGGAGGGGGGGAGGTCGAGGCCAGCCTGAGGTTGGATGGAGCTTTATCTGGGAACGTGCTTCCACCCCCCAGCACTCAGCCACCGCTCGGGGGCTAAGAACTAGATTTGTGGTTAGCGCTTTGGGTGCCAGGACGAAGCACCAGCGAGGGCCTAAGAGAAGGCGAAGGTTTGAGCCTGGAGGCTGGATGGCTCGGGCACACTTTCTGCTTGCGGTGACCGCCCCGCTCATTCTCTGTCAGAGGCGGCAACCGAGAGCCGAGACCGGGAGATTCCCACCGCCCCAGG